TAATACATATATAAAGATAACATGATATACATATATACCCAATGGAATATTATTCTGCCATACCAAAAAAAAAAAAGAGGAGAGAGAGAAATTCCTGTTATTTTCAACAATACAAATGGACCTTAGTGGCATTATGCTAAGTGAAATAAATCTGACCAAGAAAAAATATGGTAAAATCTCATTTATATCTGGATTCTTCAAAAGCCAAACTCAGAGAAAGAGGAGAAATGTGGTTGCCAGGCTGTGGGGAGTGGGGGAAATGGGGAAAGGTAGGTCAAATGTTACGAGCTCCCAGATAAGGTGAGTAAGTTTGGGCATCTAATGTCCATCACGATGACTGGAGGTAACCGTGCTGTGTCATACAGTGTATTTAAGTTTGCTCAGAGAGTAAATCTTAAGTGTTCTCACCACACAGACTCACAAAGGGAATTATGTGAGGTGGTTGGAGTGTTAATTAACCTTACTATGGTAATCATTTCACAATATATATGTGTTTATCAAAATACCATGTTAAGCACCTTAACATTACACAATGTTATATCAATTATATCTTTATAAAACTAAAAAAAAATTAAAATTGCGAACTTTGTCAGCACTACCTGTCCTGCCCTCAACTAGATTTCAACCCTGTACAGCAGCTGCTGTTACTATTGCGGCCCCTCTCCAATAAGGGCTGTTTTATAGTTACATTTGCCTGTGTTGTTTTTACCTATATTTTTATTTTTAACACTAATAATCCATAAAAATTGATTTAAGAAGATAAATTTTATGTTGTGTCTATTTCTACACTATGAGTTTATGATAACTTCTGCACAGCAAAAGAAACAACCGCCAAAATGGAAAAGCAACCCATTCTATGGGAGAGCATAATCGCCAACGATACATCAGATAAGGGGTGAATTTCCAAAATATATAGAGTACTCATGCAACTCAACAAAAGGAAGACAAAGAACCCAATTAAAAAAATGGGCAGAGGAACTAAATAAACACCTCTCCAAACAGGACATACAAATGGCTAAGAGACATATGAAGAAATGTTCAACATCACTAATCATCAGAGAGATGCGAATTAAAACAACAATGAGGTGTCACCTCACACCTGTCAGAATGGCCCGCCATCAACAAATCATCAAACAACAAGTGTTGGTGAGGGTGTGGAAAAAAGGGGTCTCTAGTACACTGCTGGTGGGAATGCAGACTGGTGCAGCCACTGTGGAAAACACTATGGTGTTACCTCAAAAAATTAAAAATTGAACTGCCATTTGACCCAGTGATCCTACTTCTAGGAATATACCCTAAGAAGCCTGAAACACTAATCAGAAAGAATATATGTACCCCCATGTTCGTAGCAGCACTATTTACAATAGCTAAGATCTGGAAACAGCCCAAGTGTCCATCAGTAGACGAGTGGATAAAAAAGCAGTGGTACATATACACAATGGAGTACTATGCAGCTGGAAGAAAGAAAGATCTCTTATCCTTTGAGATGACATGGAGGGACCTGGAAAGTATTATCCTAAGCGAAACAAGCCAAGCAGAGAAAGACAAATATCACATAATCTCTCTTATTTGTGGAATATAATGAACATAACAGTCTGAGGAATTGGGTAGACCCAGAGACATAGAAGTAGGGTACAGACTGACAACCCTCAGAAGAGGGGGTGGTGGGGGGAGGGAAAATATAAACTACAGAACTTATACGCATGTATGCATAACCGATGGACACAGACAAAAATCCGGGTGGGGGTGAGGGGATGGGGAGGAGGGTGTCAATGGGGAATAAAAGGAGAAACATCTGTAACAAAAATAAATTAATAAAAAATTATTAAAAAAATAAAGTGAAACTAGAAGAAAAAAAATTATTGTAGCTCATGGGAAGTAAAAATATATAAGCATCAATCATTGGAAAATAGAGAATAGCAAACATATCATAAGAACATGTATTAAGTAAGAAGGTGAGAGAAAGAAAAAGCAAGAAAATAGTGAACCAATGGGACACACAGAAATGAATCACAGTGGCAAAACAATTTCAACTTCTAATCAAACAGCAGACTTTGTATATAAACACAGTCTGAAGGGGGCTGTAGGTTACAGATTGGATTTTTTCTTCACTGATAATTAAAATCAATTGTTATGGTGATTAGCAGACAAAAAGGTGGGTGGGGGCGAGAGAAAAGGGTAAAGCAGGGATAAATGGTGACAGAAGGAGACTTGACTTGGGGTGATGAACACACAATGCAGTGCTACAGATCATGTATTATAGAATTGTACACCTGAAAACTACATGATTTTATTAACCAATGTCACCCCAATAAATTCAATAGAAAAGATAAAAAATAAGTAGGAAATATGTTGTCACATAGTGTTTCTTTAAACGAACACCAATAGATGTATTACTGATTAACAATGAGCAAAATGCTATAGATTACATATTAGAATAGAGTTTATAAAATAAATACAAATACCAAGAATAAATTTATAATTTATCTTTTTGTTTATATCTTTGTTATACATGCTTTAAAATTTTGTTTTTACTATCTTACACAATTTTATCAAAATGGGCTTTAACTCATATATCAATACATAAACCATGGAAATTACTTATACATTAATTATGAATTATAGATAATGCATTAAATATATTTCTAATGAGCATAAGCTCTGAACTGAGACAAATTTGGGTTTCAGTGATACTTCTGCCTCTTGCTACTTTCAACAGTATTAACCATGGGCAAGTAATCTAAGTCTCATTTTCTCAGTTGTAAAATGGTGATAATAATAGAAAATTTTCACATTGTTTGAGTAAGAGAGAAGTTAAATAATTTAATGAATACAAAATACTTAACACAGTGTTCACTGCAAGGGACTCAATCAATGCTAAGCGTTAGATTTATTGGCCTTTCATTACATTGTAATCCTCATAATCTCTGTTAAGTGCTATTATTCCCTCATTTACAGATTAAGAAGGAAAGAATGAGAACAAGAATTGATTTGGCCTATTGGATAATGTTTTTCAACTTCCCAGAGGCCACAATTATTTTTTTTTAAAGGTGGAGAGCAGTGATAAAATAGAAACAATTTTTTTTCATTTTCAATGGGATCTAGAGAGAATAAATTCTTGTACAAACCATACTATCTGAATTGATAAAGAAACTGCCCGATAATATTAAGAGAGCTTTATTTTTTTTATATATTTTGTAACAATTATATAGCATACATTGCTACTGTAAAGAAAATATACAAAATCTTTATTTCTGAACTACACCATTGTAGTTGGCTTGACAATTTTAGAATTACTTTCCTTTTTCTCTGATAGCCTGTAATCAGATTGCGTGTCCCCCCCCCACACACACAGTGGAACAGGCAAACAGAAACACACACACTGTGCAGTCTATATACTACCTCGACTTAATGCTCTGTCATTAACAAACAACATCCACCTTTTTATTGATATTGGGAATGATGATGAAATAACAGTCCGATGAGTCAGCCATAGTGTATATTTTTGAATAGGATGAATATTGAATGACTTGAACAGTGTAAAAGAAAGAAGAAATTAGAAATGCTCAGTAATGAATGCATCACACACAAAAAATGGAAAAACTAAACCTCACCTGAAATCACTCCAGTAAGTAACCCTTTTCTCTGCATGGACATGTGGTTTAAAATAAAACTTCAGGCATTTTTAACTGTGATTCCGACTGAAACATAGCCAAGAATGTGAAGATCCTTTAATTCCTACAGGTAATCTGCTTAGACTATTTGGAATTGGTAGTTTGAAAAACAGTTTGCTATGGTTAAAGAAATATATACACACTTTGGTAAAAATTTAGGACTAAATGCATATATATGCATGACCCATGGGCACAGACAATAGTGTGGTGAAGGTAGGGGGAGGAGCACAGTTGAGGGTGTCAATGGAGAAAAAAAGAGAACATCTGTAATACTTTCAATAATAAAAATAAAAAAAGAGAAAAACTCTAATATGACCTCTTGAAAAACATGTAAAATACGTTTTAAACATTCTATAACCAAATATATGACATTTAAAAAAATTAGGACTAAATGAAATATGCAGTAGCTGGCACTTTGAACTTGAATGAATTAGCTGGTCTTTGTTTAGAAGGAATTTTTGGTAAGACAGCAAAAATAGTTCTTATGTTTACATATCCTATTTTCTAAAAATAAATTCTAAAATAACAGACAGGGTGCCAGATAATTTTCACATCTGACATATCAACTAAATTAGCAAGAAATAATTTTGCCCGGCCGGTGTGGCTCAGTGGTTGAGCATCGACCCATGCACCAACACGTTGCAGGTTCGATTCCTGGTCAGGGCACATACCCAGGTTGTGGGCCTGATCCCCAGTGGGAGGCATGCAGGAGGTAACCAATTGATGTTCTGTCTCATCAATATTACTCTCTCTCCCTTTTCCTTCCTCTCTCTCTAAAATCAATAAAGAAAAAAATATTTTAAAAATAAAATTAAATAATTTCATTTGAATGGACAGAAATGTGAATGTCCCGGTTGGTGACAAAAGGGTCTACTTTTCAGATATTCATATTTTATAAATTATATATATTATCTAAAAATAATGTATTCTACTATCATAAGTATTTTTGCATATTGTTGTGTATTAAAATTGGGTACATACCACTGAAAGATACATTGCATGGCATGCACTCACTTTTATGGGCTTCATGCCCATAAAAATGAAGCTTTGAGATAAATATCTTAAAAAACATAATACCTTTTAACCACTCTAAAGAGGTCACAATTTGATTCACATCCACTTTTTTGTAAGATAATACTAATATACCAGTTTTATGAAATCAGATACTGAGCTAATTTGTTCATGGAATTATATAGTTTCGAATGAATAACAGATTGTGCATATGGTTTTATTATAATTGCGCCACAAATGTAAGCATTTTGTAAGATAAACTGCTTTTACTCACAAAATATTTTCCCTCCCTTTTTCCATTCAAAATACACTAACCTTGTCCTAAAGTTCGTAGGATGAGGATGTCCATCATATAAGGATAAGTAGTCGTATTCTTCTTCTAGAGCAAATGACTGAAAAACAATTTGTATTCTATTTCTTTCTTCTGCTATTATTACCCATGTACAGTTTGCACCATTTGGATATCCATATGGAAAACCAGGGCTTTCTATAGTGCCATTAAGTCCTTTTAAAGTTCCACCACATGTATAAATAAATCCTGCAACAACAAAAAAAACAAACAAATAAACAGACATTAACGTTATATAAAAGAAGAATAACTCATATATTTTCTCGTTTTCCTATAATCCACGCTACAATAAATTTATAAATGACAATTTTAGAGCTATGTAAATTATCTATTTTTTAAGTGGTAAAACATAACTAACAAAATACTAGAAGACTTGTCATTTGTCATACATATTGTGTTTAGTAATTTTAAACCAGTACATGAAATGAAATCGTCCATATATCTGATACATCATCTATTACATGATTCAACAGACAAACACCATTCTAGGACATGATATCTTCCCTGAGGTAGTTTTTAATCTAATTTTGGATACTTGTAAATAACATTGCTGAAAAAGGTGACGGGATTAAGAACTACAAACTGGTAGTCACAAAATAGTCCCAGGGAATTAAAGCACAGTTTAGGGAATATGGTCAATAATATTGTAGTAACTATGTGTGGAGCCAGGTAGGTAATTGAAATATCAGGGGACTGCATTGTAAAGTATATGATTGTCTAACCACTATGCTGTACACCTGAAACTAATATAAAATAACATTGAATGTAAACTATAATTGAAAAATAAAATAAAATTAATGCTTTTAGTTTGCATTTTGGATATTAAGAAATTAACTCCATTTTTTCTTGATAAACACAATAACTCTTTCGGTTGTCCATATCTCTACCATCCACCTATGTGCTTTAGGATAGTCTGTGCCACACTGATTCTAGCAGACTCAGACCTAAAAAAAAAAAAAAATCAATGTAATTGCTCTGTTGGAAACCAGAGTATTTGGTCTAAAATGGACACAATCCTAATTTAACTGCAACAAGTAAAATCTGAATTTGGAGAGAAAATATTTTGAAAAAACTGACTCCTGGGCTACTGTCATTAACCATCCTATAAACTTCCATACTAGTTCTACATGAAGTTTAAGTTACTGAGAGCTTGATTCTTGGACATACTTAGAACACTTACCATGCTTCCTGATTGATTGATTGAGAGATTGATTGATTGATTGATTGATGAGAAGTTAATATGCTGTGTAATGTAAACCCTAAGACTTACATGATAGTCAGAGAAGATGGTCCTCAGTCTGTTCCTAAGTTACTTTCTATGCTAGTAAAGATTGGATCTAGAGGCAGGCAGTCATGGTTGCGGACGTTCTGATAAGAACTCTGTGCCCAGATATTATTTCCACATTTTGGGGTCATCCATGAAGCTTTTGTTCCATGAAGGTGTCAGTCAGATACCAAGCTAACTTAGGGCAGAGAAAATTATCTGGTTTGGTAGTAGGATGCCGATGCCACACTACCCAAAGCTTCTGTATTTGGAACTAGATGTACAAAATGCAAGAAACTTGGGTTTCCTCTCTCGGAGAAGAAATGAGTTTATGTTTTATAGGTATGGATGCTTTTTAAAAGTGTGAAGACATGGAAACAACTGAAGTGCCCTTCTGTAGATGTTGGATAAAGAAAATATGGTACATGTATACGATACAATACTACTCAGCCAGAAGAGAAGATGAAATACTACCATTTGCAACAAAATGGATGGATCGAGAATATCATGCTAAGCAAAATGCCAGACAGAAAAAGTTCAGAACCATGATTTTACTCATATGTGGGACATAAAACTAAAAGTAAAAAATGAGTAAACAAGAAAAGCAAACAAAAACTCATAGATACAGACAACAACGAGCTAGTTACCAGAGGGAAGGGGATGGTAAAGGGTAAAGGGGGTCAAATACATGGTGACAAAAAGAGATTTGACTTTGTGTGGTGGGGACACACTGCAATAAACAGATGATGTATCATAGAATCGTACACTTAAAACTTATTAACCAACAATCTTATTAACAAATATCACCCCAATAAACTTAATTTTAAAAAATGGAACAAGCCCTGGATGATTTGGCTCAGTGGTTGGAGCATCAGCCTGTGGACCAGAGAGTCCTGAGTTCGGTTCCTGCTAGGGGAGTGTACCAAAAAAAGGGGGGTGGGGACAGTAACAAAGATAAAAGTGTGAAGATCCTTGCAAGAAAGATGGGAAGCCAGTTGTAGATTGTGTCAGAGAGAGGCCGATTTGGGAAATTGTATGTACATTATTTCCACGCTCTCTTCACAACGGTGCCTTTCTTTTGCTAGTGGGGCCTCTTCTCTACCAAACAGCTGTGTGCTCTAGAGAAACTGACAGTACTGACTACTGCTGAGGCCTATGGCTGGGGGCTGGATTAATCAGCATAATCCTCTCCTCCTAGCCCAGTAACTTCAGGAATCTACTTCAGTTACCTCCATATATGGCAAAGTTCTAAGCCTTGGATATTCATTACATGGTACAAACCACAGGTCTTGTGATTATTTTGCCCTTTTAAAAACATGCCAAGAAGTTGGATAAGTTACAAGTTATAAAAATCAGTATTTGTATATGTACATGTATTTTTGCCCAAGCACCAAATGTCAAAAAGGACATTTTATTATTTTCAAAGTAAAAAAAAAAAGGGAAAGGTCCCTTTTAAATTGCTTCTTGCAGAGCAATTACTTTGAAGCCTTAGGTTAATTAGCTATCACCCATTTCTATTAGTTTTCTGCCTGAACAGTTTCCAATTTGAACTTCATAACTAAATGAAAGCATGAGTCCCTTCATCTGCAAACTGATCTATGGGCTGTTTTATATATTCTCAAGTCCCATAACCCTGACAGTTTTAGAAAAAGGACATATGTCCTAAAATAACATGCTCAATTTCGTCCACTAATTCTTCAAGGGCCTGTTGATTCATGCCTTTCAATTATTTTCCTTTTTTATTCTCCAGGCAAACTAGGAATTGCACATATTTCAAAGCTTTCTTATCTGCATTCTCCATTTCATTTTCATTTTTGTTGATATCTGAGCTTGTATGACGAACATTATATTATTCATAGTAACAAAGTACATTTTTCCAACAAAAATAATCAGAAATAGAGTTTTTAAAACCGAAATAAAATCTCTTCTCATTTACTTCTGCTCCACAAGGTTAGTCACTGTTATAAACTTAGTGCTTATCATTCCAGGTCACCTTTGGGTACAATATGTGATTTCTAAATATTTCTCACACTCTGTAATTCGTCTAACATCTTTTTATTTATTTATTTATTTTGAAAGAGAGGAAAGGAAAGAGAGAGATAGAAACATCTAGGAGAGATCAGCTGCCTCCTACATACTGGAGATTGAGCCCAAAACCCAGACATATACCCTGACCAGGAATCAAACCAGTGACCTCTTGGTGCATGGCAGGACACTCAACCAGCTGAGCCACACCGGCCTGACCACCTTTTTGTCTTCTCAGTAGAGTGTTTGGCAAGACAACAATGTTTACTTTTGATGTTCACATTATCACTTTTTTCTTTTATGAATCCTGCTTTGATATAAAGACTAGAATTTTTGTTGCCTAGTTCTAGATTCTAAAGATGCTCTCTTACTTGTTTTTCTAAAAGTTTAATAGTTTTTGCCTTCACAATTAAATTGTGATCCATTTTTAGTTAATTTTTGTATAATACATCAGACTTAGGTCAATGTTATTTATTTATTTGGCCTTTGGATATCTAAGTGCTATAGCATCATTTACTGACATGTCTATTTTTTTTTAATTGATTTTACAGAGAGAGGAAGGGAGAGGGAGAGAGAGATGGAAACATTGATGAGAGAGAACATCGATTGGCCGCCTCTTGCATGCCCCCCTCCCCCCGGGGATGTGGCGCACAACCTGGGCATGTGCCCTGACCTGGAATCGAACTGGCGACCTCTTGGTGCATGGGTCGATGCTCAACCACTGAGTCACAACAGCCGGGCTTTTTTTTTACTGAAATGTTTTTACACATTGCCAAAATAAGTTGAACATATTTGTGGTGGTCCAGCTCTGGATTCTGAGTTCTGTTCCATTGATGTACATGTCTATCTCTTTGTCAATGCCGTAGTCCTGATTCAACTACTTACATAATATGCTTTAAAATCAAATGTACTGATTCCTCCCACTCTATTATTCTTTTTCAAAATTGTTTAGCTATTCTACTTCCTTTGCATTTCCATCTATATTTTTTTAACAATCTTATCTACATCTATAAAAATCTTGCTGATATTAAACCTTAGAAAATCAATATCTTTACAATATATCTTTCCATTTATTTAGATCTTCTTTGATTTCTTTTATCTCTCTTGTATAATTTTCTGCATGTAAATCCTGAACATGTTGTTTTAGAGTCCAACCTAAGTATTTCATTTTTTGTTTGTGAGTGTAAATGATACTGTAATATTGACTTAGATGCCCACATATTCATTGCTAGTATATGGAGATTGCAATTGATTTTTAAATGTTTATTCTGTTATCTGTGACCTGGCTGAACTCACTTATCAAATCTATGAGGCTAGGATTTTCTACATAGCCAATCATAACATCCGCAACTGGGGGTAGCTTCATTGCTTTCTTTCCGATCTGTATATGTTTTATATTATTTTCTTGCATTAGGACCATGTGATTTTTCTTCTTTAATCTCTTAATATGTGAATTGTATTCATTTAGCTTTAAATATAGAAAAATTATTTAATTTTCACAATAAAACCTACTTGACATTGCTTACATAATTATATTTTATATGTTGTTGAATTCTATTTGCTAATATTTTGCTAAGAGTTTTTGCATCTTCATTCATGAAGGATATTGATATGTAATTTTATTTATGTACTGGGTTTATCTAGTTTTCATATTGACTACTATCAGATCTATACAAATGAATTAGGAAGCACTCTGCCTCTTTTATTTCTGGAAAATATTGTATGAAAATGATGTTAAATCTTCTTTAAATATTTGGTAGATTTATCCAATAAAACCATCTGGGGCAGGAGGTGTCTTTTTAGTTTGATAATTATGAATTCTACTTCTTTAATAGTCACAGGGCCAGGGCTGTTTAAATTACTTATTTCATATTAGGTGATGTGTGTGTGTGTGTGTGTG